ACATAAAAAAAAAAAAAAGAATTTTGAGAACATGATGGCTCATAGGGCTTGTATTCCTCTTGCAGGTCCAAGAGGATTTTTGTTATATTGTCATATTTGTAATGTCTGTAAAATAACTGCCGACATTCCTTTGTGAAAAAAGTCTCAATGTGTGGATGGTTTCGTCTAGTGCACGCCGCACATTTATGGTGCATTAACTCGAAGATTATAGAGCTCTTCCACTAATATAATATTATATATAAGCGTTCCCATTTTTCAGAATAGGAGGAAAAAAATTAACAATGATGATGATAACGATTTGTGATTATATTCATATAGACATGTCCATGTATTTTTAAGGTTTTATGCTCTTAAAGAACTCTTTAGTCTTTGGCGCAGAGAGCAGAATGTGGTCTTAAAAGCAAATCCATTCCCTCTCCTTTCTACTTAAATTCTGCTTTTGTTTGCTCCCGGCATTTTTAAATTCGGTCGTTTTTACATTCGGACCATCTACGACTCGTTGAAATACGATCGCTGCAAAAATTGTTTTAGTTGCTGGGGTTCTGAAGTGATAATTTGGCCAATAACATTAAGAAAATGTAAAGTGTTGATGAATATACTAGTCTAAGTGATCCTTACATTATCGTACATTGATCTCACCATTAGGGATCATACACCACATGCCAAGATGTTCATAGATGCTGTAATATATCAGGATGTATTAATCTGTAGCAATATTTTTTGCAACCGACTTTATCCTCTCTTCTACTTCAGTTTTTGTAGCAGTTGTCTATCGATAAACTGTCAGATTTTTGTAAATTATCAAAAAGGAAAGAATACCAAAGTAATAACAAATTTAGACTAAGCTCTACTGGAACATTTAAGTGTGTGCCTACTTAAAATAATTTTATTTTAATTGCTGTCATAAAAGATATAAATCTTAAATTTTATAACTTCAATCATTTGTAAATATAGCAATTTTTAATACAAAAAAAAAAATGGTATATTTTATATTGAAAAGACGAGCTAGAATCTGATAAAGAGGGGAACTTATTGCCAAGATCCTTTGCAGTTATTTGAAATAAGTTTCGATCATTAGAACACTGCCATTATTTTGTCAGTTTGGTAAATTGTAATTGTTTGCATATGACGCATCAATTTTGCATAGTTGCGAGTCATAAAATTGCTAGCCTATTTATTCCCACACACCATAACGCAGAATATGTAATACTCGGTTGCGTATGCGGCTATTTATTAAGCACACAAGTTTCTCTTAATATATGCTCAAGATAAGCACGTGTCAGAGTGCACGGTACGGCAATTTCAAACGCATTTAACCTCCAAAAAATTTGCTAATTTGCTTGGCCGTGGGCTGCATCCGTAAGCGATCTTGCCCCGATAAACAGCGTTAAACAGCTTTTCTTGACTTGGAAAACAAAAAAAAAAAGAAATTAATATTTTGATTAAGAAACATTTTTTTACACAAATTTATTGCAGTTAAACATATATATGTATATAAATATATATATATAAATAGTCAAAAAACTGCAGTTTCATACTCAGATAAAAAAAATGAATAATAATTTTTATACTTAACAGATTTGTAACTAGAAATGAGTTTAGGTGTCGAAATATAATAATATGTATGTATTTTTAAAATATTTTACGCTTGAAGTTCTTGTAAACAGTTTTTATGATCTATTTTGCACGGGTTATTTGAACATTTCATATTGAAATTCGAGGAGAATTCTTTTCTACGATTTGTCGAAGCAGTATTAAACTAAGAAGTGTCCATCGTAAATGAATATTTAGACAAATATCTCTGGCAGTTGGAGAGGTTTAGCCCCTTCGGATATCTCGTAAACCAGTTAGCGCACCCCAAAATGCAGAATCCTCATCCCTCTTCCTCTTTCTTCTCTTCTTACGTTCGAAACATCCCATTTGGGTCACGTATCTCTCTTTGTCTCTCCATTGCATCATCGTAACGACTTCTTCCGACTGTTAGTGTCTCTCATTCATTATCAATGTTTATTGACTGTGAATTCCATTTGTATCAACATCCATGCTATTGAATGAAAATTAAAGGAAAAAAAAATGACAAAAAAAAAAAGCAATGCATATCACGAAATTTTGTGCACTGTACAGTTTAAGATATTAGAATAATTAAATACTGTACTTTGTTTCGACACCCTCCTTTCTTTTTTGTAAAGAATTTAAGATTTCAAAGAAACTGGTCATGTAGTTTTTGTGCTGAATTTTTGGACAAAATAAAATGTCTTTGTGATATGTCACTGCGTAATTTTAATTCAAAAATTGTGTCTTTTCGCTACCTTAAATTGATCACAAGGTTATTTTTCTGAGTTATTCGAAATCTAAGATTAAAACTCACACTACGCCACATTACGTATCTGTGTACGGAGCCTTTAAGGCGCCCATTTACCACGCGGCGGTCCAAAAGCCAGTTAACCACATTTTGTGTTGTGCCGGCCACAGCCATAGCTTGTGTTATTTTATCTACAGCTCGGAACCTGACATTTTTACACAAGTCATTATTTGGTGGAGGGGAAGGGCCTGTTACATATGTTACAATTTAGGGCCACAAGTCTAACTCCAGTTCTAGTTGTGTGTTTTGTGTAAACTGGATTTAGAATTGGCAGAAACAGTGAAATATTTGAGCATAGGAACACGTTGTTAACCGACTTTTGGGCCTCGTATTTAAAAAAATTACATAATTAAAATTTTATTTTATTTTCTACACAAACAACCGATTTTTTTTTTCTTTATATTGATTCAATTTTAAGACACTTTCCTCTAAAATTTTTCATTTTTTTTAGATCATTTGTTAAGTAGTTTAAGTATTATTTATGATTTATTGTTGTATGTTTGATTAGTGAACCATTTCGAGAAAAATCCCCATTATTATTATTATTTTTATACATATTTTTTGCTTAATAACAACTTAAAAATGCTTAAATTTCCCTTACAGAGACAATTTAATAGTTCTAATATGTAAAAAAAACTCCAATTATAGAGGTCAAATCGAAAAATTAAGGGGTTACAATTGGCGTGGGTGTGCAAAAGCAATACCAACGCACGTCCGTAGTGCCGGTGTAGCTATTTTCAAGTGTTAATGACCTGTTACCACGCGTGCACAATGTTAATAATATCAACAGAGGACGTTGTCACTCTATGACGAGTGACGTCAGCGAACTACACCCCCGACCGGTTATACGAGTGGTTTGTTTATATAAATCGTATAAGCTTACCACTTGCAATTTTAAACCTTTGTTTGTTTCTCCCCCCCTTATGAAATATGCATTAAAAGTCACATGGTTAACGAAAGTTCTATTGTTTAATAATTACGAAGGTCCATTCACGAGTATTGATTGGCGTTATGTCGTGAGCAGTTCCCTCCCCCGTCTTGCCTTACTGTATTCCTACGAAACTGATATAGCATTGTACCAATTTTGGTACAGTTAATTTATAAAAGGAACAGTTTAGACTTTACAATGGTCAGCAACGATAAAAGACAAAGAAAGTCGAATTTATAAATACGTATTCTCTTATATAATAAGCGGAAGTTAATTTCTTCATTTTAAAAATGAATTTTTCTTTTTAAAATATTAAAATAGAATTAGGTCGTGTCAACAAGTTTTTTTTTCTATAATTTACGTTCAAATTCATTGTAAAAAATAAGTATTTAATTCTTTCAATATTGTTCATTGCCGTTTACATATTCTAAAGGAACATTTTCCTTGAAGTGTTTTATAGTGTGTCTGCCTCCAACAGGAAAAAAATACAAAGACAATTTTATAAAATAGGTCTTATCACGTATATACTGATCTTTATTCCTTTTTTTTACTTATCATTGACAAAATTAGTATAATATATAGATTTCATTGCCTTTGGCACTACCTATCTTTCTGTCTATATCTACTGTAGTGTTGTAGTTGCAGTTATGGCGCTCAGACAGGTAAGAAAACACTACACTTCTGCTTACTAAATACTTAATGCAATGACAGGTGAGAAAATACTATTTCTATTTTGCGTAACGTTACAATAACCTTCCATTGTACAGTACTGCTGTTTACTAAGAGTAGAAGCGTAACGTTATTGATACTATAATCTAGATATATGACTCACCGTAACTGCAGGTAGGTAAGGTATAATTTACTGTAACGTTACGCCATTTTATAACACCTACTTTATAACGTTATAGTTGAATCTACCACGCTCAGACAGGTAAGAAAATACCGTTACAATTTAATTTTCTGTTACTTTAAGTGAATGCTGTAACGTTACGCCGTTACGCTCTTCGTTTCTAACGTCTANACGATTATGGTTACCAAGTGAAAGCTAAGGATAGCGATCACTATCGTCAAGAGAAGGGGGACGGAAAGGGTGGTGTTGTAGGCAGTTACGGCTATAAAGATAAGAAGGGTATCTATCGTGAAGTGGATTACGTAGCTGATAAATTCGGTTTCCGTGCTAAGGTGAAAACCAACGAACCCGGCACTTCCAATCAAAATCCTGCTCATGCTGATTTCATTCATCATCATCCACCCCCACACGCTTACGCCGATAAAGGTTATCATCATCACCATCACGGTTTGGGTGCTCTAGCTGGTTTGGGTGCTCTGGGTGGACACGGACACGGTCACGGACACGGACACGGTCATGGCCATGGATTAGGAGGACTCGCAGGACTCGGCCATCTCGGTGTTCTTGGTTAAACGCTCGTTTGCATAAGGTACACTCATTTCTAATGAAGTTTTATTGATATTTTTTAGGAACAGACACATATTAAACACTTAATTGTTTTCTTTTCAGAGCAACTCTAGCATGGCTTCAATGTATATTCGCAAGCTATTAGAGAATGTAACGTCTTTGCAAGCTTAAATTTTAAGTGCTTTTACGAGGTGTATACATTTGTATACGTGTTTTATGTGTGTAAATAAAGCCAATGGTTTTTTAAAATAGAAAAACGATATCTTACAAGTCTCATTTCATTTCAACTAACGTTTCCTGAACGAAAATAAACAAGGATAATTCACATTATTAATAACCAAAAACCAATTTGTTTCCTTCACACAAAAGATAAAATATAATATAATATAATGTTACTATTCTCGAATGAAAATAGATAAATCGTGAGAAACTTTATTTTCGATTTACGTACAACATTTAGCATTATTTAACATAATTGCATCCCTCCTATGGTATAAAACCTTCCTTAAAATGGAAGTTCATTATCACTTCGATGGTAAGAAGGAAAATGAAGGACGTGAATTTAGTAACAATTCCCTATATATAACTAAGAAAGTAGTTCTAAAAACTACTAACAATAGTTTAGTGTAGATTAAAATCTTCTTATCACTTAAATTCTCAGTAGAAAATGTACATACAGGTCTACTTGTTCCATTAAAAGTAAGAAAAAAAGAATAATTATATTATTCTGTATTCGTTATTTATCAATCCATATCACAAACTTTCACTATTTTTTGAATAATTGGATCGAATAGATTCTGGATGAATGCACAAAGCGGTTTCGGTATTGAAGGTGATTGTACTGTACTTTGTCATATCGTATGCACCAGACCTTAATTTTTACATATGTAATTAAGTAGTTTGCTATTGTATAATAGTATAAATACTTAAGATATTCCCCCCTTTATTTTCTAAAAATATATTATAAATATAATAAAATTAATTATGGAAGAAATGGGTGAAGTGTTGTGGATAATTAAACTGTGTAATTGATTTTTTATAGTTTGTTGCATGTTTTTTGAAATTAAAATAAGGACAGATTTGTTTGTGTTTTATTGTCTTGAATTTTTAATAAATTTTAATTCTTTATGAGGAGTTAGAAGAAAACTGCAACGTATTTACATAATTATTGTTGGTAATTAAAGCAATTTTAATGGGTTCTGACATATTTGGGGGACAACTTTTTGGGCGAAAAGGTATTATAATCCAGTTTAATGTAACATTACTCCATTATTTTGGAATATGTAGCTAGTTCAAAACATAAAAATTACCATAAATGACCATAGTTTGTGTTAATAACGAACTGTAAACAGAGAAGAAACGAGTCAGTCGATAAATATCCATAACCTGTTAATCTTGGGGTCAAAACACAAACCATAAGTTAGGTCATAAATTTACCATACAAGTCGACCCCCTACAACATTGTTGATTTTTCCGTTTTATATGAATTCCGTGTTGTACGAGTCACTTAGATTTTACAAATACGTGTGCCGGGCTGTGAACGGATCACGTATTTGTAAAATATAAGTGATTCGTACAACATGGAATTCATATAAAACGGAAAAATCAACAGTGTTATAGGGGGTGGACTTGTAATTTATGCTAATTTAAGAACTAAGAGAATAAAGGAACCGGTAGAAGGCTCGAGAACAGATTTATGGTACCAATAAATTCAAAAAAAAACTCTATAAATTTATGAGAAGAATAAGGAAGTGAGATTAATCATTTAATTCTAACTGGGTGGAGATTAATTAAATTAAAACAAAATCTCGTGTTTATTTTATTACATTTAACAGGTTTTAAATTTAAATTTATTATATATATATATATATATATATTAAAAAAGGAACCAATAAGTAACTGCCTTATTGAGAGAAATCGATATTAAATTAAGGAAAGAATTTAGGTCATATTTAACTTATGCTATTTAAATACAAGTTATGCTATTTATATATTTGAAGACCACTTCTTGCGAAGAAAATACTTAAATAGTTTGAATTTATTTTAGTTTTTTCTAGTTTTTATGGTTATAAATTTAGTAAAGATGGTTTTTATGGGGTTTTCCATTGACAAGAAATGTTCTTGTTTAAGCTGCAGCGCTTCACTTTCCCTCTGTTTTAATGGTTATTATTCGGGCTATAATTCTAATATAACTCTATAGGATGCGGTAAATCTATGGTAAAGATAAGGCCAAAAGTATAATCATGGTAGAGCTGCATTGCTCCTGTTGAGTTATGGTAGAACTGTTGTCTGGTAAAGTAATGTGTTTGTATTGTAATGCTAATAAAGGTCTGTAAGTACTCTGCTATGGTAAAGATACAATAAAAACAACCATAACTAGGTAAATCTACTTAAAAGCTATGAAAGACACGTTAAAACATGAACTAAAATCATTGGTTAAACAGTGAAAATGACCTTTGAAGGTCACTCGATTTCATCTATTTGAAAATGGCTTCACTTACACTAGTTTTATTAATTAATAATAGATAAGAGCTTATCTGTTATAGACAATCGAAAGTACAAAAAATTAATTTATGGAAAAAAAATCATCGTGTTAAAAATGGTGCAGTAAAGTTAACAAATAAGCAATTTACTTAACAATAATTAATTATATTAATTAAACAATTAAATATATTAATTACGAAAGAAACAAAAGCCCAAAATTTAACAGGCTAATTTGTAATTTTCACGCATAATTTATCAAATAAAACAACTAAAATAATCGCCATCTTCATCAGACAATTTACAGGTCAGTAGCCATTGTTTGACTTTCAGATTATACGAATTAAATAAACATATAAGAAAGTAATGTTACGAAATGTTTAAAAAACCCCCCCACACCTATACACCGGGTCAACTTCTAAATTTAATCGCGTGACCTTTATTTAAACCTCTTTAAAAATTCCAATCCATGGTATACCGGAATGTACAACCGAACAGGAAGTGGGCACAAGTTTTGGTGACAGTCACCAAATTACTGGTGTCGAAGTTCTTGTTTTTTTTTAACATTTAAGGCAATTTTAATACGGTTAGGGTGGATACTCCCTGCAATACCCGTTATGTTATTGCCTTGGGCAATGCTCCGCGTACGTATATAACTGTAGAAGCGGACAGAGTTGAGTAACAATTGAGTAACAACTCTCGATAAAATCATGTTCTTGCAGGTAAGATTCGTTACCGATTGTTACGTTTAATGCGTTACGATGCTCGAATAAGTGTTTTAAATCTTCTAGATACTCGTGATAGCCGTAGCAACAGCGGTCGTTCATGGAATTACCGGTGGCATCGGAGGATTAGGAGCACTCGGTGGATTAGGAGGACACGGATTAGGCCTCGCTGGATTAGGAAAACACGTAAGTAGATGATAATAATGGTTACGCTGCGATAAACTAGCCGATATTGATCACATATACGTATTTTAGCACGATATCTACGTTCCTCAACCTTACGATTACGGATATCACGTGAAGGCCAAGGATAGCGATCACTATCGTCAAGAGAAGGGAGACGGAAAGGGTGGTGTTGTAGGCAGTTACGGATACAAGGATAAGAAAGGTGTCTACCGACAGGTTAATTACATAGCCGACAAATTTGGTTTCCGTGCTGTGGTTAAAACCAACGAGCCGGGTACTTCAAACCAGAATCCCGCTCACGCAGACTTTCATCACGAGCATCCTCCCCCACACGCCTACGCTGATAAAGGTTATCATCATCATCTGGGTCATCTTGCGGGTCTCGCACATCACGGAGGACACGGTCTAGGTGCTCTCGCTGGTTTGGGTGCACTCGCAGGACACGGCTGAATGCAATTATGAAGCGTGATCCGTGCACGCAATCGAGCATCACGAACAAAACGTATTTGCATTTTTAAGCAAACTATACCGAAATTTTTTAATTGTTAATCACCAGTGGGATTATCAAGTATTGTCTTTGTATATGCCAAACATTTTTAGAGCTTTTTATGTCATGATTTAATTGCTTTTATGTGTACGTTATGAGCGTACGTTGTTTTATATATATATATATACATATATACACACACACATAAATATGTAAAATGTATGTAAATAAAGAATGGTTTTATTTGTTTGATATTTAAAAACATATCAGAATTTATTATTGACATAAATAATTAATACAGTTTTAATAAATTCGGTGATCAGACATACGAACGAATTACATAATTGAAAATAATTTTCGGTTATGAATTAATTTAAAAAAACTAATTAATTTAATTAATGGCGCGTTATAGCTTTATGGACATAGGAGAATTTAAAATAAGGGGCCCCACGTACAGTGTTTTTCTTCGGGGGTAATATTTTCTTGTAAAAGGCCCCAATCAGTGAAGGCCTCAATTCAATTTCCCATAGGATAACGCGCTACTGCATTTAATATCAAATTTTTAACGTTAAATTAAATAATAAGAATTATATACTTAACACTATAACACATAACAGTCCCTTCTCCTGCACTAAATAACGACGATACGTGTAATTTCAGGCCCTTATCTTAGTACTATAAAAAAAATCAATTTTAACAGCTTAAAACTATGAAAATATAAAAATTCATAACGTAAAACGAATACAATATTAAATTTCGACACCATAAAACTACGAGAAGATAAAAATTTAACAGCTTTTAAACACAATGAACCGTTGAATCAATGTCAATATCAAAATGGCGTAAACTAGATGACTTATAAAATTAAATTATGGAGTAAAAAACATATATATTCAAGTTATAAAAGTTAAATATAATTAAGAAAAGGTAGTAAAAGTGATATAAATAGAAAAGAAACAAGTTTTGATTTCTTGACGGTTGAGTCAATTATTCTTGTCAAAACTATTCTTGTAAATGTTCTATACTAAGAAAAGTATTTAGTTCAGCTACCAGTTAATTTTATTTGGCAGTTTATTATGCAAAAATCAATCACCTTTTATAGAAAATAAAAATAAAAATAGGCATGCCACTTGCTCAACTTGTAGTTTTTAAAATAAGAATAGTGTATTGCACACCTTTCGATTCTATAAATAGGCTTATATATAACATAACCGCCCTTAAACGTAATTAAATTATTATTAAAATAGGTTAAAAATAAATTATATCGATGCTTTATATTTATTTCGCATTAAGATTAATTATAATTAAAAGTTAATCGTGTTTAATTTGTAAATTACAATTAAAGATGATAATTACAATAAAAATGAAACGAAATCGATTAAATACGAAACGTAATTTACAAATTAAATAGAATTAACTTTTATTATAATTAATTTCAATTACATTATATCGTCATTGATATTAATTACGATTAAAAGTTGATATAATTGTAATTAAACCTTTAAAATTAAAGGCTAATTCATACACGCTAATACTAATGTGGAATAGTGGTAATTGTATCTTATTCTCACGGGTATTTACGAAAATATCGTGACAATAAATCACGTGCAGAAGGAAGCACGTTCATTTTCACTCGAATTTTTAATTGTCTATACATAGAGACAAAAATTTATCCTCTAAATATAATATACAAGTGGTCCAAAAGTCAGTTAACGATCTTTTGCTCGCGTTGTTCCAGAACACGAGTTTAGGTTTTAACGATGGTTAACCGAATTTTGGGTCTTGTTATTTGTATTTTAAAGTGGTAAATAAAGAAAAGGAAAAAATGACTTAAAAAATACTTTTCCTGGTTGATTTAATTACAGTTATTATTCTCTGTAAATCATTTTTTTGGTGAACTGATGTTATGTTTATGTGTTTTGATGATGATTATCTATTGGGCGGAACGGTAGACTTTTATTGGTTTTTATTTTTATTATTTGTTTTTTTTCAATCGAATTTAATTGATATTTAACCCTATTCTAACCAAATAAACTTCCTGTTATGTAATGTGATAATTCTTTTTATATTATTCACACTGGTTTTCATATCGCTTGTTAGAGAATGACTCGCCTATTTTCTGTTTTATACTCTGTTGTAGCATGATTTAAAACTTTTCTAAGGCTCATTTAATACTTTATTCTACAATATTTTCCTATTATATATAATTAAGTGTCTTGCTCCTTATATAAAATAACAAAGTACAAGTCGACCTCCCTATAACACTGTTGATTTTTTCGTTTTATATGAATTCCATGTTGTATGAATCACTTAGATTTTACTAATACGTGAGCCGTTCACAGCCCGGCACACGTATTTATAAAATCTAAGTGACTCGTACAACATGGAATTCATATAAAACGGAAAAATCAACAGTGTTATAGGGGGTCGACTGTATAGTATTCGGTTTATATATCACATATAAGAAGGTTAAGTCTAAGTCTCGAATAGAATGTGAATCATATTTTCTATATTATTTTATCATAATAAATATAGAAAAAACAGCGCTTAATGTAAACAAAACTTTAAGGTCGATGGAAATGTATAATGAAGAATAAATAATATAATAAACAAATGAAGCTAAAATATTCCATTAATGATTTTTTAATGGAGAGAGACCTTTTAATGGATTGTAAATTGTTGCTAAAAGGTATCTACATAACTTAACGAGTTCTAGTGTATAAAATATCGAGTAAATACTTCAATTAATTACCTTTTTGTATTATATAATAGAACAATAAAAGAAAAAAATCATTAGTTTATCCTCAGCATCTCTTTGGTAAAGATGCTTCGCCAGGTTAACAAATTGAAGTTGTTTTGGATATTATGTTGCCTCGGAGGATTCTTATACCAAGCTTGGTCCTTTCTAGAAATATATTTAGCATTCGAAACTGTGGTAGATGTAGAGATTTTTCATCCCGAATCTATTGAGATGCCGGCATTTACTTTTTGTAGTTGGAACGGGTAAAATATTGTTTCTAAACACAAAAATTATTATAATAGACGTAAAAACTCTTATATTTATTATTTCAGTATACGAAAATCAAAATATTGCGAAAAGTTTCCTGATAGATGCAATGGAAACGATACCATTATTAGCGTGTGCTCTACGTATCCATCTATGTGCAAGTATGGGGCTTCACAAAATTTGCACGTAAGTTCTGTTATAAGTTTTTCAGTGTACTGTTATAAATATTTATCATCTAAGCAATGAGTTGTTTGTTAAAAGAGCTTAAAAATTGTTATATATTTTAAGCTATCGAAGAGAATAGCCGAATACGAAAAAATGGAACACGAAGCTTCTAGAGAGATAATGAAAGAGTTTGGACATCAAAAATCTATCATTAATGATTGCGATTATTCTTGGAAGAGTAAAACTTCTTGCAAGTAAGATTTTATTTAACTTTTTTTCAAATAAAATCATTATATTCGAGAATCAAAGAGAGAGATTTTCTTTATCAGGAAACTTCGTTATCAATACGGAGTGTCTTTCGAAGGACCGAGAAATTGTTATACTAGCAATAGCAGAATTTGGAAGAATTTAACAGAACCAGAAATGATTCCCGTTCTTCAAGGTAAATTAACGTGTTTAATTTGTACACAAAACTCGGATCTTATTGAAAAACCAAATTATGCTAGGAAGTAACGTGAAGAATAAATATGCCAAGATGAATTATTTCATCTCGTTTGATCCAGAAGAATATATGGTACCCGAACGTCAAATTGCCACACAATTCGACATTCATCCAGCTGACGAATTAGTTGACCCTTTTAGAACTGGCATTAGTTTGTTTCCTGGATATAATTATCAAATTTTAATGAGTGTAGTAAGTATTTTCTTGAATGATTTGTTATAAAATTAATATTTTGTACATAAATTTTGCATTTTGTTTCAGTCAGAAATTCATCTTTTACCGTATCCGTATAACACTGATTGCTTTAATTATACAAAAGACTATTTAGAGAAGAAAGGAACTACACCTTGGAGAAGAAGTGTATGATTTTCAGTAATATTACTGAATAATTTTCTTTAAATTATATGTGTAATTAAAACGTTTTCGTATAGATGTGCATGGAGAAATGTTACGTTGATGTGTATATTAAAAAGTGTAACTGTGTCCCAACCGACATGAAATATGTTCACGACACACAATACTGTAATTTCAGTAAGTATTAAAAAGAAATGCGCCTGAAAACGTAAGCGCAATTAGAGGCTGTTCATAAATTACATGAACAGCTTCTAATTGCGCTTACGTTTTCAGGCTCTTATGGCTGTACCGAAGAATTTGACGTTACAGAATGCTTGAAGAAATGCAAAAAGGATTGCAGGTTTGTGAATTTTTTAATTTCTTTTCATATATGTAGATAAGGTAACTTACCAATGGGTAGTTCCTATCTCTGACTCACCCATCGAGTGTCGTACCCATCTGCAATGAGCGTAATTGTTTCTATTGTCGAATAAGCAACCAATTTTAATAAGAGAAATTTAAATTTTCAGAATTATAAAGTATGATTATGAAGTTAAAAAGGTGCCATTATTACCTATTGTAAGTACTGTTTTGTGATTTTAAAGTTATCAACGTAAACCATACTTAAAAATAATATTTTTAGGTGAAGTACTTTCTGACCGATCCAGCTCTTAAAGGCTTACAGTAAGTATTTATATAGCCTATATATATAAACATATAAAGCTAACATTAACATTAATAAAACCTAACTTACAGTAAGTTCACATACGTTACCGTTACACTGAAGCAAGAAGACGTTATTGTTTTTAATCACAAGCCGAAATACGAGGTAAAAATCTATGAAATTAAGTCAAAAAAAGTAGGGAAAATAATTAATTGTTAAAATATTTCTTTTCAGAAGATCGAATTATTTAGTTACGTTGGTGGATTCTTGGGAATGTGGCTGGGATTTTCTTTAGTTACAATTAGTGAAGTGGTGAAACACTTCTTTGTTGCTAGAAAATATTTTAAACGTAACAACTCCATGAAATTAATGAAACATCGAACAAGAATTTCTGTTATTTATCCTAAAGATTATAAATTTTAATATCTAACAACAAATCTTATGTAAATCTGGAATTAAATTACATTGTATTTAAGTTTTCTTCAGGAATAAATCTCTTAATATAGCACTAATCTTAGCCTAATTTTTGAACCTTTTAATGGTTTTTAATTTTTTCTATTGTCTTCATCTCTTGGATTTTTTAAAATACACTCTCTCATACCATGATGAAATTTGTCAGGTTTTATGTATTATTAAGACATGTTAAATATGGAAGGACTCTTAACAGCATAATTTTATTTAGAAATAAACAAAGAAAATTTCTCTGCTCCTATTCATTAATTGGGAAGTTCATGGCTCACCAGTGACCGTGTGGATAAAACTACTAAACACTGGTGTGGGTTTGAGACTCACTAACAGAATGGTCACGTAGAATTTCGGTTTTCTTCGTGTGTGTAATACCTAACTATTGATCATTTTCCCGTAAAAGATCCTCCCACGCGGCATTCTCATTGAAAGATCGCCCATGAAAACCATGGGCGATCTTTCGATGAAAATGCCACACGATGAGAAGAGAATGGGAAACCAAATGAAACCATTACTTTAGTAGTTTTTTGAGCCTTGAACTTCCCAACCCCTGTTAAAAGATAAAGAGCAGAGGAATTTCTTTATAGTGCCATAACAAAATTTCATGGTCAAATTAATATTGAAAATATTTTATTGTTAATTAACATCTTTAAATAACTTATTTATGTCTTGTTTACATAAGCCATAACCATAACATTGCATCCGTAGTAAAAAAAATTCACTTTCTTCATAATTGGTGTGTTATCTAATGAGGAAGGACGGCAATTTCTTCTTTATTTCAGAATTATCGGGTAGTTCTTTCAACCATTGATTCATAATGGTTAGTGTAATTGAAATTAAAATTACGAATGCACCAGATAAGCTGCATGCATCAGGAATATCATTAAAAATAATTATTTGAAAAATGAAAGAAAGAAAAGTAATGATACACGACCTTAGAATAGAAACAGAAGCTGCATGTTCGTTCTGCAATGCCAGAGTAAGTAGGCACTGTGCCACGAAGCTGGAAACTCCTAGTAAGATCACCAACCACTGATTTAGTCCACATTGCGGCATGGTGAATCCACCGAAGAAAAAGGAAAGCATCAAACATAGTATCATCGACACCCAACTGACGTTAAACATCACCACTGAATGATGAACTTCTTTAATCTTTCGAACTAAAATATACAATCCAGCATTTATTAACGTAGAACCCAATGCTGAGAATACTCCTAAAACATAATTTTCACCAAAATCAAATCCTCGATTTGCTAAGAGCAGAGGAACTTTAGTAATCAATAAAATCCCCAAAATACTTAATAATAATGCTATTATATTAAAAATTCCAAATGATTCTTTTAATAGGATCTTTGCCAAAATTCCTACAAAAACTGGAGTGCTGGAGAGAATGACTGAAGCATCAGCTAGTGGCATAAACTGCAATGTCATAAAAACCAAAACTAAATGAGGAGCTCCTACTACACCTCCTATCAAAAGATATAAACGTACTTTTCTTGGTCCTAATAGTGTCTGATTGAAATAAATTATCAATGGAAGACTGAAAATCAACGATGATAAAAATTTTATAGAGGACAATTCACTAGGATTGATTTCTTTGATGAATTTCGCAATAACAGATGTAAAACACGTGAAAATACTTGATGCACACGTATAGATCAGACCTTTGTAAATGATAAAGTTCTTTTTTCCATTGTTTTTCTCATTTGAGTGATTGTTTTCGTCGTGAGAACCGAGCATCGATTCGTGCAGCTCGATTTCTTCGCTGATTGATCGTGATGCGCTAGCCTTTTCGGGGAGAAAAAAAAAGACACTTATTTAAATAATCTTTTAACTTATAATAACTTATTATAAAATAAAAATTAATTTTAATTTAATTATAAAACAGAAAACAGACCCACAAAAGGACAAGTGAATTCACGCTTGACCTAGGTGTAATTTTCTTTGTTTTCTTTTTTTTTCACGTGTATAACATCTAAATAGATACTTTAACGTATTGTTTTACTTCTTTAATGATTTAGAATACAAATTTTAAAAATATATGGAGTGTTCGTAATTAAAGTATTCCTATTCAATGCCCCTCTAAAGAGATATTTAGCTGTATAATTAGATATGATGGCCTTTTAAGACATTTTTTTTATGTATTATAAAAATATTTAGAGTACTATTTTATAAGGAAAGAGCAGAAAATTTGTCTTACCATGTCTAATAGCTTTGAAAGTTTTAGACTTAATAGATTGAAAACACGTGTATCATCCCGTCCTTGAACGCATTATTGAACAACTATAATGAAAAATATAATATGCGTGACGAGAGAAAGAATTTAAGAATAAATTGCAGTATAAAACAACAGTATAATTACTTTATTTTTGTAAGTATATAAAAAAAAATACAGTAGACCTTGAACTATGAACCTACAACCTCCATATTTTAATCCACCCTTTACAACTTCTGCTTTTACTTATGGTATTAATTAATTTCCTATTTTAACTACAGTAAATTTTGTTAATTCATCTTTACCTGTATATTATTACAAAGTTTAAAACAATTTCCTGAAACTTAATCTCGTGTTATATAACACAGATAAGGGAAATTATGTTTGGCTTTACGACGGCTCGTTTAATAAACTTATTAGGTTTTGTAAATGAGGGGTATTGTAAATATAACAATAAAATTACAATAATATATAAAATATTTATGTCAGAAAGATAGAGATTAAAAAGGTAGATTCGTAATCGATAGAATTAAATAGGAATGTTTGTAGCTATGGAAACTTTATGTATTAAAAGTATGCATTGATGTATCCTTATTGCTCTACGTAGACGAGTCTTAATTCTTCCTATTAAACTAACCTTTTTCCTTAAATATTCTTTATTTGTATAAATATACAATGTATTTTTAGAATTATAACAGATAAAACACTTATTGATGAGGGACGAGAAGGTCCGAAATACAAGAAAGTATTATATAAAGGTGCAAATAAAGAAGTTTTTTTTTCTTTAAACAAGATTACTTTCAAGCTTATCGTACATCAGAGTAATGACCTGTTGATAGATTACAGTGACAGTAAACTAATGTTAATAAGTAATGTTTATTTAACCCTTTGAAAGTAGACGAAACTCTAACCCGGGAGTCGACCCCTTTACGGTATTTCTGACCCCAAAACGAAGGTAAACACCGTTAATGTAGCCTATAAAAATATGAATATAGAATGTCGAATCGTCTTGAACAATGATTCCAAATGTAGAAAGGTTCGTGTTTTATAACAGAACGCACTCTACACTTACATATCGACCCCATCTAATATTATTGTACAGTACAGATTCAAGGACAGGAAATTACATAGGCATTTAACCATTACAAACAACAGCTTTCGATTACTGTTAAGAAAATGGTAAGATATTTATTTTATTACCTTTTATTAAGTTAGATATTAGATATAATTAATTAAAGTTACTTGTTAATGAGTTGTTTTTACTGTTTATACATCCTAACGCGAAGTAAATAAGGAAGAATTAAACGTATGTAACAAAGGATAGTATAGAAGTGATAATGTATATAATTTACATGTAATTTTAATATATATTTATCGTTAATTATACTTTCCCTTGTCTCTAACATGTCTACATAGATATAAACATTATCTCAAGTTTAAAAGCATTATATAATCATACAGTGGTTACAGGTACTGTACTGTACTTTATATTAATATACTCGTCTACGGGCTAGACTTAGACTTAAAAGTTAGATTTGTGGTGTTAATTTATTTCACGCCTATTAGCCTGCAGTTTATATGTCTTTTATTAATTAAATTTAAAAAAGAAATTAAATAAAATACAAATATATTGCATACATCAGTGATTTTAATATATACTGATTTAATTGTAGGAAGAACAAAGGCAATCGATTCAAGAGATGTTAGAAATTCAGGAACCAATCCTCAACTCCCTCAATAAGGATCCCTCGCAGAGAAAGAAACGAAATTTCTTTAAAAATTATAATATTTACAAAGGACTGATCTATTCTTGCATCTCCAGTCTTTTCTTCACCCTGTCAGCCGTCATTGTAAAATATGTTAAAGAAATCCATCCTGGTCAATTAGCCACCATGAGATTCTTAGCCATATTCATTTTCAGCCTCCCGATGATGATTTATTTCAATCAGAAACCATTGGGACCAAAGAAATTGCGCTTTTACTTATTGCTAAGAGGTATAATAGGAGCTTCTGGTTTGTTTCTTACATTTATGGCATACCGTTTTATCCCTTTAGCCGATGCTTCGGTCATTATTTTCAGCACTCCAGTTTTTGTGGGTATTCTGGCAAAGATACTGTTAAAGGAACCATTCACTATGTTTTATATTTTAATTTTATTATTAACATTTTTAGGAATGTTACTGATAACTAAAGTTCCCTTGATAATTGCAAATCGTGTCTTCATCTTTGATGAATATTATACCTTGGGTATGCTTTCGGCCTTCGGCTGCATATTATTAAATGCTGGGGTTTATGTGTTAGTTCGTAAGATTAAAGAAGTTCACTATTCTGTTGTGACATTTAGTTTCGGTTGTGTGGCTACAATCGAAACTTCGATTATTACGGTGGCGATCAGTGGCTTTAAATTACCAAAATGTGGATTGGATCAATGGTTGGTTGTCTTGTTGGGAGTTTTAAGTACCATCGCTCAATGCCTATTTACATTGGCATTACAGTCGGAATATGCCGCTCCCGTTTCCATTGTCAGATCATCGAGTGAAGTCTTCCTCTCTTTTATATGTCAAATATCGATATTTAATGATATTCCAGATGCGTACAGTCTGTCTGGAGCATTTATTGTTTTCGTTTCGGTTATTCTAATGACCGTGAGACAATGGTTGAATGGTCTTCCTAAAGACTCGGCAATTAGGAAGAAAGTGCCATCATTCTTTATTAAATAAAATATTACATGTTAAAATGCTTTGTATGTATTAAAATGATTAATTATTTAATTAGTAATATGAGATAAATATATAAATATTTTCTTCATAAATTTGTGGTATGTGTTAACTTTAAGATGAGGATAATATTCCTCAAAACTTTGAAACTTCCCATCGTAGGTAGTCCTACATTTTGAAATAATATACAGTGTCGATCAAGGCGATTACGGTGTTAACCTACAGCTCCGAGAGACTCTAAATCGAATCAGAGGAGGAAACAACACCAGGAATTTTTTCAGTGTGGTCTGTCTCGTATATGTCGGGATTCTATCCTCACCACACGGTTGCCGCATCGTGGGCATGCCTGAATTATGATGGGAATGGTTTAATTTTACGAGACACGGCAACGAACACTTAGACAATTGCCAAAAGAGGAGTCTTCTGGGATGGCATTGTATGACTAACTGGATACTATTTAGATGTTAGACACGTGAAGAAAACACGGAAAACTCCACGCAGTCTGCTCGTTGATGCACAAACTCTCAACCAACTCAACTATCAGAGTCGAGTGTATGGGCACTGGTGGGCCTGTGATGGGCATAATACATCAACGATCGCAGTAGTGATTCCTGTTTCTGATGACAAAAACGGTGAAATTAGACTTATTAAGAATTATAATTAACTTTTGTACGTGTGTTGAATGCATGTTGAAATCATTTCGGCAATGCCTTTTAGTATTCTTTACACTTTTGAATGCTCAGTAGGATATGCTGTTTCTACATAGTTTATAAAACCATTTTACTTTCATGGTTCAGTTATGTATAACAGGGGAAATATACGACAATAGATCAAAATTGACCCCTGAGGAATTTTACATTTTTGGACTCCGGGGACTTTGACACGTCGAGAAATGCAAAAAAGGGGTTTTCTGTATATCTGGATGTTAGTGTGTGTGGGAGGGGGCACGATTTTGTTCACTCTCTTTGATGGTTAATAACTTCCTCTGCATTTTTTGTGGAAATTTTCTGAATTTTTGCAGGGAGGTTTGTTAATTTAATTGGGGGATTAACGCCATTAAATTTTGGGGAGATAAAAGGGGTCGTGTGTCGTATCTCAAGTAGTTTGGGTTTCCTTTATTATTTTTCCATTAAAAGAAACACATATTTTATGGTAGACGGAGAAATTTGTCACCCGTATCATGGACCTCTACTTCCAGACCGACGAATGTACTAAAGAAGTAAAGACACGTCATATTTTTATACTTATATTTTACATTGAATTATTAAAAATCTGGACAGAAATGAATTTATTCAGTTGCAGCTATCTTTACATATTCAAATAATAAACGTGGATTAAGGTAACGTAACGTGTGGAAGAATTGCAAAGAGAAAGACATTCTATGGGAAATTGATCTTATTTAGGTGTTAGACTCGTGAAATAATGAAGAATCCACATGGCCAACCTGTTTCATTTCGAATTACAGTTATACTTATGAAGTAAACTCAATGAAAACGCAAACACATGTTTTAAAATTACAGAAACCATATTTAACTTCGCCGGAATGTGGTGCCTTTTTACAATCTTCGGTACAGGCTGTATACTTTTCTGCTCTAGTGGATCCCGTCTGACAAGCTGAAGATGCAATTGGGCGTACGAGTTTTTTCATATCTGCCGATCCTCTTCCTATCAAAGATCCTAAAGAGAAATTCAAAAATGAAACTTGATATTGAATTGAACGGTAATTTCTAATTAAATATTCATAATTACTCAAATCTGTCAATAATTAATGCTGACTTATTTATTGGTTGTGTTGATATCTTGCTTTAATTAACAAAGTACTAGCATTGGTAGGCTATATGGTTAAACACAATGGGTTCACTACCAGTGGGCTTCACTCTCAATAGTGTTTTTTTTTAGTGTGAGTGAATTACAAAAAATAGTATCCCACTCTATCCGTGGCTACGGTAAATTATGAAATTGTAGAATTAACGAGTTCTCATCTGGCCAATAGACTGGCCTCTTGGAGTATTCTGGATTTTTTCTATACAAAGTCCTCCAATGAGGCACTCCCCATTGGCATATCATTCACTCGTTGCTTTGGTGTATCCCTTATTCCCACAATCTTAAAATTTATATAGTCCCGATATTAAGGATATTTATCAATTATGCTTCATATTTAATTAATTTAATTGTATATTCGAAATTTTGAATATAATAATACTAACACTAGATTTTCTCGTGATTTTAAAAGGATAAATTCTTACCGATAATAACGCTTGTCAGAAGAACTAGGTAAAGAGCCATGTAAATATTCGATTGTATTCTGCTGATAAAGTTGGATAATTTACTGTAAAGTTGTTCTGTTTTATACTTTCGATCTGGAAAATACAATGTTATGAGCTTCTGTTACTAAGAGTTTGAGAAATAGAATTAAAATGTAAAACTTTTAGTCACAGTTGTTTATAACAATAAATAGTTCGACATTAGCGACACTTAAATAGGGGCAGAGTTTCCTATAAAACACCTTTCGAGAGATATTTTCTTTCGGAAGATCGCCTGGTGTCATATTGCTGTATACGAGTAAAACTAAATCAAATTGCCCACCGGTGGCCGAGGAAAAAACACCGAACATTAGTAACTGAGTCGTGGGTTTGCGCGTGAAGCTGATGCTGGAAAGAAAGACACTAAACATTATGAAAGTACTATTTTGAATATTATTTAAACACCGGTAATGTGACTCATTACTTTAATTCAGTCAACAGGAGCGTTAAGTTTATCTTTTGCCTGGCATCTGTCAGGTGCTGGTACTGTACATCATAAGGAATTTCGAATACTCGCGCAAACGAAAGGTGCAAATTTACCACAAAAACACAATATAATAAACGGGTTAAAAATGGAAAGCTTGTCTCAGAGAGATTTTGTCACTCCCACACGATAGTCGAGACTATACGAGGATTCTGATAGACTCACCCAGTCTGTTAATTTCACAGTGATTTTAGTCCAAAATTACACTGGTGGTTAAAGGTAGTAGTGCCGTCCGTCAGGATTCTAAGAAGCCGATACAAAATTCTGTATTATTCGAGCTGGCAGCGTCGACCCCCGCCTCCGAATTTTATAAGACCGCCGAGTGCGCCATCACCTAGACCAGGGGTGGCGAACCTATGGCACGCGTGCCCAAAGTGGCACGTAAGGAGAAATCATCTGGCACGTAATATATCATACGATTTCTGTCTTTTTCAATAATCTTTACGGTTTATCATCTGATCATCCTTTTTTCAATCAGCTTTTTTACATTTATTCTAATTAAAGCGTATTCATTTAATTTCTTTTAATAACGTTATTCGAAGTCTGAAACTTTGGCACGCATAAACATCTTTAAACCTAAGTATGCTTACAATATTGCACGCGAACACAAAAAGGTTCGCCATCCCTGACCTAGACCATCACCGGCGACATATTATAATCAAACACCCTTTTGGAAATATCGAGGACCGAATCCCTTCCCCCGTGAACGGGTAGAAACGGAAAAACCCTTACATTTCTTTCAGCCAAATCAGATATAGCCGGAATTTAATTAGCGTGATCCGTCAGAGTCGAGGAAACAGACACCGATAGCACCTTTTCTGCACCCATCGTATCTGTATTACGGAACAACCGCGCGACATAGAACATTCGAGGGTTATATATAATGCGCGATACGATCTCATTATCGGGGGAATCGGTAGATCAAAGAGTACCGGTGGTTACCGGTAACCACCGGTAAATCAAATTACCGCCATACACCTTAGTCTGAGAAATAGAAAGAAAACTTACGATAGATACGGGCCCAGTCGTTACATTAGTACCTAGATCTCTCTTCCAAGATTTTATAAGCAAATTGCCGGAAGCGAAGACGAGCGCGTTAGTGTAACGAATATTGTTTGTGGAGAGTTTCGTGGAATTCTCGTCACCCTATACTTGTTAAAAGTATGCGTACTTTAGTCGGGTGTCCAAAGGATAGCGTAATTCACAACTATTATATTGCGACACTTATTCTACCGCTCTCGGATGGCTAAGACGTAAAATTAACGTTTCTTTGTTAATGTTAACATTGGGTAGTCTAAATCAGCGGTCGGCGAGAAAATTTGGATGGTCCGTGGAGAAATTTCGACATTCATCAATTGAAAGTTACGCGAAGTATTATTACCTTCCCAAACCTGATTAATTAAGGGGCTTAAATGGAAAAAATTTCACGATAGTGGTCCACGGGATTCAAATTTGCGAGTTTAGTGGTCAGAAAGGTTGCAGACCGCTGGTCTAAATCATTCGTAGTCTCGTCTCTATGCCATCTCTCTCGTCCAACAATCGGCTACGGGCCCAGAAAGCGTTTAAAGAATAAATCACCCAGTGATGTCGTATGTTTTCGAGTAAGATTCCCGAAGAAAAGTACTGAGAGAAGAAAAGAAAGATGGCCGAGAAAGCTAAAGGAATGAACTCAATACCCAAGTTAAATGGGTATTTTCACGAACACGAACTAATCAGCAAAAGGTGGCAAAAAAGTGCACTTTCTTTAAGTCTATGTCTGTTTGGTGCAATTTGGAAAAAAAAATATATATATATATATTACATCATGAATGTTTATGTGTTATTTAACATGTACTATTATACAAATTAATATAAAAATAACTTAAAATTAAGGTAATGTTTGTTTATTTTTGGTCACGTGTACGCTTTCCCTATTTACTCTATGTTAAAATGATTTCGTTTAACGCTGTTTCGTTTAGCGCTTTGTCATCTAGGATCGCATCCCTCGCATTAAGCGGGTCAAAGGGGCCCATACACGTTAAGTAAATCCTTTGAGGCTGCCTGACCTCGAGGAACTTCAGAATTTCCTATCGTCCACACACGAAGAAAATCTCTCAGCAGAGGCGTAGCTATTGTGGGGCAGCTTGCCCCGGGCTCTACTCGCAGAGGGGCGCCAAATGGTCTCCAAGACAAACATGATTTGTTTCTGGAGGGGAAGGGGCGCCAATATAGTATCGTGCCCCGGGCGCCAGTTATATTCGCTACGCCATTGTCTCTCAGTCAGTCACTCGGCCATGGCATCTGATGACGACATACTGACTGTTCTTGGATGTTTATTGGCAACAAAATCAGGAATTACTCAAGGTCAGGCATGCATAGTTAATCCTTTGAGGATTAACTTAACGTGTATGGTCGCCTTTATTAATAAGCCTACCCCAGAAGGACCTTGGCTCATAGGATGAGACAACCGATATGCTAGAACTCTTCATAAAAACGACGAAAAACATAACGGGCAACGAAATAAAGCGCATCGGAATAGACAATGGGACCGAGTTCGTAAACCGAGATTTCATTCGTTTATGTAACGAGCATAAAATACAACATCAATTAACGACAGTATACTCACCGCAAAGCCGAAAGAGCCAACGGAACAATTCTCCAAATTACGAGGGCTCTACTCATCGAAAGTCGACTGCCAAAAAGCTTTTGGGCTCAAGCCGCACGAACGGCGACGTATTTAAAGAACTGCACACCCGCAAAACTAGAGAAGAGTGCATCTCCCGAGAAACTATTCTCTGGAAGTAAATCCTCGGCATCACATTTACGAGTATTTGAATGTCTAGAGTATGCGTGGAGAAATTCACACAAATGAAGAACCCAACCATACCCAAAGTGAGGATACCCACATTCAAATATCTAGAAGATCACAAAGAATCAGACAGCAAATCCAACAAGGAATCACGCCTAACTACGATGAAAATTTCTCCGATACGGACGAATGAAGTGATACAGATGTAGTAAATATGAAACACGATTTCGCATCAAATACCTTCAAAGAAGCGATCACTTGTCGAGAACATAAGTCGTAGTAGAAAGCTATGAAAGATGAATATCAATCACTGATGAGACAGAGTATGGGACCGAGAACCAAACACTAATGTTATAAAGTCAAAATGGGTATAGAAAAACAAAATGAATCCGGATGGATGTGTAAATATGAAAAAAGGCCCGACTGGTAGCCCTGGGACGTTCCCAAAACCATGGAATAGATTACAAAGAAACATTTTCGCCTGTGATGAAATAAAAAACGCTAAGAATCTCATTAGTAATGGCAACATGAAAAAATTGGAAATTAAGCCATCCTATCTACAGTCGTTACATTAGTACCTAGATCTCTCTTCCAAGATTTTATAAGCAAATTGCCGGAAGCGAAGACGAGCGCGTTAGTGTAACCAATATTGTTTGTGGAGAGTTTCGTGGAATTCTCGTCACCCTATACTTGTTAAAAGTATGCGTACTTTAGTCGGGTGTCCAAAGGATAGCGTAATTCACAACTATTATATTGCGACACTTATTCTACCGCTCTCGGATGGCTAAGACGTAAAATTAACGTTTCTTTGTTAATGTTAACATTGGGTAGTCTAAATCAGCGGTCGGCGAGAAAATTTGGATGGTCCGTGGAGAAATTTCGACATTCATCAATTGAAAGTTACGCGAAGTATTATTACCTTCCCAAACCTGATTAATTAAGGGGCTTAAATGGAAAAAATTTCACGATAGTGGTCCACGGGATTCAAATTTGCGAGTTTAGTGGTCAGAAAGGTTGCAGACCGCTGGTCTAAATCATTCGTAGTCTCGTCTCTATGCCATCTCTCTCGTCCAACAATCGGCTACGGGCCCAGAAAGCGTTTAAAGAATAAATCACCCAGTGATGTCGTATGTTTTCGAGTAAGATTCCCGAAGAAAAGTACTGAGAGAAGAAAAGAAAGATGGCCGAGAAAGCTAAAGGAATGAACTCAATACCCAAGTTAAATGGGTATTTTCACGAACACGAACTAATCAGCAAAAGGTGGCAAAAAAGTGCACTTTCTTTAAGTCTATGTCTGTTTGGTGCAATTTGGAAAAAAAAATATATATATATATATTACATCATGAATGTTTATGTGTTATTTAACATGTACTATTATACAAATTAATATAAAAATAACTTAAAATTAAGGTAATGTTTGTTTATTTTTGGTCACGTGTACGCTTTCCCTATTTACTCTATGTTAAAATGATTTCGTTTAACGCTGTTTCGTTTAGCGCTTTGTCATCTAGGATCGCATCCCTCGCATTAAGCGGGTCAAAGGGGCCCATACACGTTAAGTAAATCCTTTGAGGCTGCCTGACCTCGAGGAACTTCAGAATTTCCTATCGTCCACACACGAAGAAAATCTCTCAGCAGAGGCGTAGCTATTGTGGGGCAGCTTGCCCCGGGCTCTACTCGCAGAGGGGCGCCAAATGGTCTCCAAGACAAACATGATTTGTTTCTGGAGGGGAAGGGGCGCCAATATAGTATCGTGCCCCGGGCGCCAGTTATATTCGCTACGCCATTGTCTCTCAGTCAGTCACTCGGCCATGGCATCTGATGACGACATACTGACTGTTCTTGGATGTTTATTGGCAACAAAATCAGGAATTACTCAAGGTCAGGCATGCATAGTTAATCCTTTGAGGATTAACTTAACGTGTATGGTCGCCTTTATTAATAAGCCTACCCCAGAAGGACCTTGGCTCATAGGATGAGACAACCGATATGCTAGAACTCTTCATAAAAACGACGAAAAACATAACGGGCAACGAAATAAAGCGCATCGGAATAGACAATGGGACCGAGTTCGTAAACCGAGATTTCATTCGTTTATGTAACGAGCATAAAATACAACATCAATTAACGACAGTATACTCACCGCAAAGCCGAAAGAGCCAACGGAACAATTCTCCAAATTACGAGGGCTCTACTCATCGAAAGTCGACTGCCAAAAAGCTTTTGGGCTCAAGCCGCACGAACGGCGACGTATTTAAAGAACTGCACACCCGCAAAACTAGAGAAGAGTGCATCTCCCGAGAAACTATTCTCTGGAAGTAAATCCTCGGCATCACATTTACGAGTATTTGAATGTCTAGAGTATGCGTGGAGAAATTCACACAAATGAAGAACCCAACCATACCCAAAGTGAGGATACCCACATTCAAATATCTAGAAGATCACAAAGAATCAGACAGCAAATCCAACAAGGAATCACGCCTAACTACGATGAAAATTTCTCCGATACGGACGAATGAAGTGATACAGATGTAGTAAATATGAAACACGATTTCGCATCAAATACCTTCAAAGAAGCGATCACTTGTCGAGAACATAAGTCGTAGTAGAAAGCTATGAAAGATGAATATCAATCACTGATGAGACAGAGTATGGGACCGAGAACCAAACACTAATGTTATAAAGTCAAAATGGGTATAGAAAAACAAAATGAATCCGGATGGATGTGTAAATATGAAAAAAGGCCCGACTGGTAGCCCTGGGACGTTCCCAAAACCATGGAATAGATTACAAAGAAACATTTTCGCCTGTGATGAAATTAAAAACGCTAAGAATCTCATTAGTAATGGCAACATGAAAAAATTGGAAATTAAGCCATCCTATCTACACAGCAATTTGGACGAATGTATATACAGTAGAGCGTCGATTATCCGATTCAATTGGGGACTGGAGTTGTTCGGATAACTGATATTTCGGATAACCGGTTGTGTACGAAAAAATACATTAACCTATCCTATGTTGAAATTTTTGTCCGTTGTGTGTCGCTTCGCGTTGAATTTTAGTCGATGTTAAGCCTAACGTAAACTTTTTAAAATAATAATCGTGACTATTGTATCGTTAAAAATTATTTCTTTATTTTTTACAAACAAAATAAATATATTGAAAAATATAAAAATAATAAAAAAATTATACTTGAGAAGTTAATTTAGTATAAAAAACATAAAATATTTGAGTAGCCCAAGACATAGCCAAAGATTGCAGAGCCACAGCACTGGCGAAAATTTAAATTTGCCGACTGGAATTCTTTCGGATAATTGACTTTCGGTTAATCGACGCTCTACTGTATATGGAACAACCGAGGGTATTCATTAAAAGAAACCCAAAGTTAAGGAATCGTATACAAACGAGACCAAAACATCAATTCAATCAGACACGCGGATGCTAATTGGTAAGACAGAAATATAAGTCAACGTTCGAATAGCGGATACCTTTTGCAATACGGACAGAATCTCGTGTGGTACAAATGCCAGAAGCAGAAGCAAACGGCGTTATCGACACGCGAAAGTGAATTGACGGCATTAACTGAGGCAAAGAAAGAAGCGACACGGTTAAAAATGATCCTAAATGAAATAGAAAAAAAAGGTTCTAACAAAACAACTACGATTTATAGCGATCATCAGGTAATATGATAATGTAATCAACAGCGGAAGTCCTAACTACAAGACCAAACATATAGTAAGAAAAATATCCTATGTACTGTACACGAAAACGTTGTCATGTATTGTTGTTATTAAATACATCCCAACGGAAAAAATATCGACAGACTTTTTGATAAAACCATTAAACGTGCTTAAATTGAAAATCTGTTTAGACAGAATCAATGTAAAATAAACATTGAATTAAACGAAAATAAATGTAAGCACGAAACTTCCCAAAGCGGGGGGGGTTTGTAGCGAATATTGTTTGTGGCGAGTTTCGTGGAATTCTTGTCACTCTATACTTGTTAAAATTATGCGTACTTTATTCAGGTGTCCAAAAGATAGCGTAACTCACAACTATTATATTACGACACTTATTCTACTGCTCTCGGATGGTTAAAACGTAAAATTAACGTTTCTTTGTTAATGTTAACATCGGGTCGTCTAAATCATTCGTAGTCTTGTCTCTACGCCATCTTTCTCATCCAACAATCCAATCCTCTCTCGTTGAACAATGGGCCCAGAAAACGTTTAAAGAATAAGTCACCCCGCGATCTCCTAAGTTTTCTAGTAAGATTCCCGAAGAAAAGTACTGAAAGAACAAAAGAAAGATGGCCGAGGAAGCTAAAGGACTGAGTTCAATATTGAAATACCTAATATGGAAATACTGTATATAATAAAAAGTCTGTTAGAAGGTCGAAGTCTGATGTATACGTGCTCGATAGTCCCAGACCAGAAATTTCTGAAGAAACAGCCACTTCGGAAGACAAATCAGACTATTACACGTGGCGAAAGAACAGCCAAGCTCTTAGAATCATCACACTCATAATAAAAGAACACGAGGTTAGTCTAATTTTCTAAATCTTCCATTAGACCTAGGCCAGGTTTTTATATATAAAATGTCGTTTTCGGTCTTTGTTATCGAGATTATTAAATTTAAATATAATATTAGAATTTATTCCAGCAACGTCGAGATGACGATAAAAGAGAGTTAGTGGCCATCTCCTTGTAATTCGGGATGTAGTATAGGATGAACGCATCTGATCTACAGTGTCTACCTCACTTTTAGTAGCATTGTAGTCCAAATTTGTCACAGCTTTGTTAGTTTCCCGATCGACTTCGGGAGTGTGTTGCGTGGTCTAAAGCATCATCAATGTCACGGCATTGATGATAGGGAAACTTACGACATTGTTAATTTAATATATTTATTCGATAAACTTGCAAATATTTACCTACTTTATTGAAAAAAAAATTAAAAATAAATATAAAAGTATACTGATATTTTACTTACGTGGCAAGGCCTACGCGTAGCGGCAGTTACAACGCGAATGAGGTACGACTCGATTCGAAGTCCAGTAACAACAAACGGTTAGTATAACTAAGTGTTCCGCAACCGGTGTGTTGTCACAAAGTGCGAGGTGTGTTGTGAACTTTTACGTATTCGTTTAATTTTTATCACAGATGCTGCGCTTCTTATTAGTACTAATACTACTAATAATAACAATAGGTTAGTGGCGTTACATAATTCTACTAATAGTGTCGAATCATACGTTTTTGAGGGAAATAACATTTTGATGTGACGTGTTGAGTCATGGGGTGTGCCGCGAGTCTCGATTTTACAAACACGGTGTAACGTGCAATATGAAAAGAGAGTACTACGACGTACTGTACTTCCGCAATAATAAAGTACAACGTCAAACAAAACACAAATCCAGTGAAGAAAACACTGAAAACTCCACGCAGTCCGCTCGATTGAAGCACAAACCCGCAACCGGCAATGGTGGGTCTGTGACGAGTATGGAGGCTTTCTTAGTATTTTGTAGGGTGGAAAATGGTAAAAAGTCTTACGAATTCTGATACGTGATTCGGTTGAAATAATCAATATTCATTCGTACATTAAGATTTTATACACCAATAATCGCTGTAGTGATTCCTGTTTCTGATGACAAAAACGGTGAAATTAGACTTACAAGTCGACCCCCCTATAACACTGTTGATAATTCCATTTTATATGAATTTCATGTTGTACGAGTCACTTAGATTTTACAAATACGTGTGCCGAGCTGTGAACGGCTCACGTAATTGTAAAATCTAAGTGACTCATACAACATGGAATTCATATAAAACAGAATTATCAACAGTGTTATAGGGGTCGACTGTATTAAGAATTATATTTAACTTTTGTACGTGTGTTGAATGCATGTTGAAATCATTTCGGCAATGCCTTTTAGTATTCTTTAGCACTTTTGAATGCTCAGTAGGATATGCTATTTCTAAATAGTTTATAAAACCATTTTACTTTCATTGTTCAGTTATGTATAACAGAGGAAAAGTAGGCAATAGATCAAAATTGACCCCTGAGGAATTTTACATTTTTGGACTCCGGGGACTTTGGGGAAAGGGGTTTTCTGTATATATGGATGTTAGTGTGTGTGGGAGAGGGCACGATTTTGTTCACTCTCTTTGATGGTTAATAACTTCCTGCGCTTTTTTTTGTGGAAATTTTCTGAATTTTTGCAGGGAGGTTTGTTAATTTAATTGGGGGATTAACGCCATTAAATTTTGGGGGTTATAGGTCGACGAGATGGGGAGATAAAAGAGGTCGTGTGTCGTATCTCAAGTAGTTTGGGTTTCCTGTATAATCTTTATTATTTTTCCGTTAAAAGAAAAACATATTTTATGGTAGACGGAGAAATTTGTCACCCGTATCATGGACCTCTACTTCCAGACCGACGAATGTACTAAAGAAGTAAAGACACGTCATATTTTTATACTTATATTTTACATTGAATTATTAAAAATCTGGACAGAAATGAATTTATTCAGTTACAGCTATCTTTACATATTCAAATAATAAACGTGGATTAAGGTAACGTAACGTGTGGAAGAATTGCAAAGAGAAAGACATTCTATGGGAAATTGATCTTATTTAGGTGTTAGACTCGTGAAATAATGAAGAATCCACATGGCCAACCTGTTTCATTTCGAATTACAGTTATACTTATGAAGTAAACTCAATGAAAACGCAAACACATGTTTTAAAACTACAGAAACCATATCTAACTACGCCGGAATGTGGTGCCTTTTTACAATCTTCGGTACAGGCTGTATACTTTTCTGCTCTAGTGGATCCCGTCTGACAAGCTGAAGATGCAATTGGGCGTACGATTATATTCCTATCTGCTGATCCTCTTCCTATCAAAGATCCTAAAGAGAAATTCAGAAATGAAACTTGATATTGAATAAAACAATAATTTCTAATTAAATGTTCATAATTAGTCGAATCTGTCAATAATTAATGCTGACTTATTTACTGGTTGCGTTGATATCTCACTTTAATTAACAAAGTACTAGCATATGATAGGCCAGGGGTGGCCAAAACGTGGCGCATTGGTGGTCTAAAGCATCATCAATGTCACGGCATTGATGATAGGGAAACTTACGACATTGTTAATTTAATATATTTATTCGATAAACTTGCAAATATTTACCTACTTTATTGAAAAAAAAATTAAAAATAAATATAAAAGTATACTGATATTTTACTTACGTGGCAAGGCCTACGCGTAGCGGCAGTTACAACGCGAATGAGGTACGACTCGATTCGAAGTCCAGTAACAACAAACGGTTAGTATAACCAAGTGTTCCGCAACCGGTGTGTTGTCACAAAGTGCGAGGTGTGTTGTGAACTTTTACGTATTCGTTTAATTTTTATCACAGATGCTGCGCTTCTTATTAGTACTAATACTACTAATAATAACAATAGGTTAGTGGCGTTACATAATTCTACTAATAGTGTCGAATCATACGTTTTTGAGGGAAATAACATTTTGATGTGACGTGTTGAGTCATGGGGTGTGCCGCGAGTCTCGATTTTACAAACACGGTGTAACGTGCAATATGAAAAGAGAGTACTACGACGTACTGTACTTCCGCAATAATAAAGTACAACGTCAAACAAAACACAAATCCAGTGAAGAAAACACTGAAAACTCCACGCAGTCCGCTCGTTGATGCACAAACCCGCAACCAACTCCAGTATCAGAGTCAAGTGTTCGGGCAATGGTGGGTCTGTGACGAGTATGGGGGCTTTCTTAGTATCTGTAGGGTGGAAAATGGAAAAAGTCTTATGAATTCTGATACGTGATTCGGTTGAAATAATCAATATTCATTCGTACATTAAGATTTTATACACCAATGATCGCTGTAGTGATTCCTGTTTCTGATGACAAAAACGGTGAAATTAGACTTACAAGTCGACCCCCCTATAACACTGTTGATAATTCCATTTTATATGAATTCCATGTTGTACGAACTTCGATTAGGAAGTGAACTGTTAGACAGGGAAAGTAATAGAGAAAAACAAGAAAAACAAACAAATTCCTGGATAGAACAACGATGAAACTAAGCGNGAAATTTCTGAAGAAACAGCCACTTCGGAAGACAAATCAGACTATTACACGTGGCGAAAGAACAGCCAAGCTCTTAGAATCATCACACTCATAATGGAAAAACACGCGGTTAGTCTAATTTTGAATCTAAATATTGGGTAGACGGAGAAATTTGTCACCCGTATCATGGACCTCTACTTCCAGACCGACGAATGTACTAAAGAAGTAAAGACACGTCATATTTTTATACTTATATTTTACATTGAATTATTAAAAATCTGGACAGAAATGAATTTATTCAGTTACAGCTATCTTTACATATTCAAATAATAAACGTGGATTAAGGTAACGTAACGTGTGGAAGAATTGCAAAGAGAAAGACATTCTATGGGAAATTGATCTTATTTAGGTGTTAGACTCGTGAAATAATGAAGAATCCACATGGCCAACCTGTTTCATTTCGAATTACAGTTATACTTATGAAGTAAACTCAATGAAAACGCAAACACATGTTTTAAAATTACAGAAACCATATTTAACTTCGCCGGAATGTGGTGCCTTTTTACAATCTTCGGTACAGGCTGTATACTTTTCTGCTCTAGTGGATCCCGTCTGACAAGCTGAAGATGCAATTGGGCGTACGATTATATTCCTATCTGCTGATCCTCTTCCTATCAAAGATCCTAAAGAGAAATTCAGAAATGAAACTTGATATTGAATAAAACAATAATTTCTAATTAAATGTTCATAATTAGTCGAATCTGTCAATAATTAATGCTGACTTATTTACTGGTTGCGTTGATATCTCACTTTAATTAACAAAGTACTAGCATATGATAGGCCAGGGGTGGCCAAAACGTGGCGCATTGGACGATTACAAGTGGCGCTTCAGTTAGTTCTGAGCAAAATTGCCAGATTTGGCTTTTATGCGATTAAGAATATTATATAAAAAAATAAATTTTTTACAGTCTGTCATGGCAAGTTTATTTGTTGCACAATTCGTTACAGTCTATTTTGCAGATAAAATGGGTGTTCTCCCCATTGTAAATTACAGTGAATGCATGTATTTTGAGTCTTGCGATCTTTATTTTCGATCAGTTTATAGGCGTGTAAATGGCCGAAAACATTTATTGTGATTAAAGTTATTCCAAGCTGATCTTGTTCTCGGTGCCAATAATTGTGGTGCAGAGGTATCTTCACCAAACGAGACTCTGGCAGCAATAGCACCATCATGAAGCAATAGCCCTCTCGTACAGGAGATTATTGTTGACTATTGTTAATTGGTGCTTCAATAAACTGTCATAAATTAATTAATTCAACTGCGTGATAAAGTTATTCCCTTTTCTCTCCTAAGCAAAGCAGATTTATTTTTATCTCTATTTATCAACCCCTAACATTGAACGTAAGATTGTACAAAAAGTGTTCGAGTTTTATGGCGCATCTGAAGTCGTCTGTCAAAAAATTGGCGCATAGTATGCAAAAGGTTGGCCACCCCTGTGATAGGCTATATGGTTAAATTAAACACAATTTTTGCGAGTGGGCTTCACTCTCAATAAGGTTTTTTTTAGTGTGAGTGAATTACAAAAAATAGTATCCCACTCTATCCATGGCTACGGTAAATTATGGAATTGTAGAATTAACGAGTTGTCATCTGGCCAACGGACTGGCCTCTTGGCGTATTCTCGATTTGTCCCATACAAAGTCCTCCGAGGAGGCACTCCCCATTGGCATATTATTCACCAGTTGCTTTGGCGTATCCCTTTTTGCTACAACCTTAAAATTTATATACTGTCCCGATATTAAGGATATTTATCAATTATACTTCAGATTTAATTAATTTGATTGTATATTCGAAATTTTGAATATAATAATACTAACACTAGATTTTCTCGTGATTTTAGAAGAATAAATTCTTACCGATAATAACGCTTGTCAGAAGAACTAGGTAAAGAGCCATGTAAATATTCGATTGTATTCTGCTGATAAAGTTGGATAATTTACTGTAAAGTTGTTCTGTTTTATACTTTCGATCTGGAAAATACAATGTTATGAGCTTCTGTTACTAAGAGTTTGAGAAATAGAATTAAAATGTAAAACTTTTAGTCACAGTTGTTTACGACAATAAATAGTTCAACATTAGCGACACTTAAATAGGGGCAGAGTTTCCTGTAAAACATCTTTCGAGAGGTATTTTCTTTCGGAAGATCGCCTCGTGTCATATTGCTGTATACGAGTCAAATCAAATGGCCCACCGGTGGCCGAGGAAAAAACACTGAACATTAGAAACTGAGTGGTGAATTTGCGCCACACGCTGATGCTGGAAAGAAAGACACTAAACATTATGAAAGTACTATTTTGAATATTATTTAAACACCAGTAATGTGACTCATTACTTTAATTCAGTCAACAGGAGCGTTAGTTTATCTTTTGCCTAACATCTGTCAGTTGCTGGTACATCATAAGGAATTTGTTTGTTTGTGTTTGGTCACGTGTCCCCTTTCCCTATTTACTCTATGTTAAAATGACCTCGTTTAACGCTGTTTCGTTTAGCGCTTTGTCATCTAGGATGGCATCCCCCGCATTAAGCAGAATCTTACTGTATATAATAAAGATTATGTTAGAAGGTCAAGATCTGATGTTCTCGATAGTCCCAGACCAGAAATTCCTGAAGAAACAGCCACTTCGAAAGACAAAGCAGCCTATTACACGTAGCGAAAGAAGAACAGCGAAGCTCTTAGAATCATCGCACGCACAATGGAAAAACACGCGGTTAGTCTAATTTTGAATCTAAATATTGCACGCGATGTTTCAGAAGATCTCGAAGGAAGACACGAAGGTCGATTAGACACGAAGCGAAAATGTCGATCAAAGCTCTCGAAATTAAAAATGGAGGGGGGACGAAAACTGTAAGAAATATATCAGAAGAGCTCAACATGCCGGTATAACCCAGAAAACTCCCAGAAATACGAACTGAAGACCGATCGATATCGCAATCGCACGCGTGACGTCGGAACAAAAGCTACAAGAGAGAAATCAGAAACCAAAGTCAGATACGTCGATGCTAAGCCTACTCCAAAAAGACCTTGGCTCAAAGGATGAGACAACCGATATGCTTAAACCCTTCATAAAAACGACGCAAAACAACGAAATAAAGCGCATCAGAACAGACAATGAGACTGAGTTCGTAAACCGAGACTGAGTTCGTTTATGCAACGAGCATGGAATACAACATCAATTAACGACAGTATACTCACCGCAAAGCCGAAAGAGCCAACGGAACAATTCTCCAAATTACGAGGGCTCTACTCATCGAAAGTCGACTGCCAAAAAGCTTTTGGGCTCAAGCCGCACGAACGGCGACGCATTTAAAGAACTGAACACCCGCAAAACTAGAGAAGAATGCATCTCCCGAGAAACTATTCTCTGGAAGTAAACCCTCGGCATCACATTTACGAGTATTTGAATGTCTAGCGTACGCGTAAACTTCGAAGGTAAAACGGAACAAACTTAAGCCGAAATCGAGAAAAGTGATATTATTCGAGAATCAGACGAGCCTACAGAGTATACGATTCAAAAACAAATAAGGTGGTGGAAACCAGGGACAATTAAGTTCATCGAACTTCGATTAGGAAGTGAACTGTTAGACAGGGAAAGTAATAGAGAAAAACAAGAAAAACAAACAAATTCCTGGATAGAACAACGATGAAACTAAGCGATATATACGAGAACAACGATCCCACACCCGTAGATACTGAAAGAATAAGAGATAACGATAAGCCCAACGAAGAAATTGACGCAAATGAAGAACCCAACCGTACCCAAAGTCGGGATATCCACATTCAAATACCTAGAAGATCACGAAGAATCAGAGAGCAAATCCAACAAGGAATCAGATGTAGTAAATATGACACACGATTTCACACGAAATACCTTAAAAGAAGCGATCACCTGTCGAGAACATAAGTCCTACGTAGTAGAAAGCTATGAAAAATGAATATCAATCACTGATAAGACTCAGAGTATGGGACCGAAAACCAAACGCTAATGTTATAAAGTAAAAATGGATATAGAAAAACAAAATGAATCCGAATGGATGTGTAAATATGAAAAAAGGCCCGACTGGTAGCCCTGGGAAGTTCCCAAAACCACGGAATAGATTACGAAGAAACATTTTCGCCTGTGATGAAATTGGAAACGCTAAGAATCTCATTAGTAATGGCAACATAAAAAAAATGGAAATTAAGCCAATACGACGTTAAAACAACCTATCTACACAGCAATTTGGACGAATGCATATACAGTAGAGCGTCGTTTATCCGAAAGCTGGTTATCCGAAACGTCCGTTATCCGAAAGCTGGTTATCCGAAACGTCCGTTATCCGAAAGCATTCCAGTCGGCAAATTTAAATTTTCGCTAGTATTGTGGCGCTGCAATCTTCGCCTATTTCTCGAGCTACTCAAATATTTTACGTTTTTGATACTAAATTAACTTCTGAAGTATAATTTTTTATTGTTTTTATATTTTTCAATATATTTATTTTGTTTGTACAAAATAAAAAAATNTATTGATATTTTACTTACGTGGCAAGGCCTACGCGTAGCGGCAGTTACAACGCGAATGAGGTACAACTCGATTCGAAGTCCAATAATACTACTAATAATAACAATAGGTTAGTGGTGTTACATAACTCTACTAATAGTGTCGAATCATACGTTTTTGAGGGAAATAACATTTTGATGTGACGTGTTGAGTCATGGAGTGTGCGCGAGTCTGGATTTTACAAACATGGTGTAACGTGCAATATGAAAAGAGAGTACTACGACGTACTGTACTTCCGCAATAATAAAGTACAACGTCAAACAAAACACAAATCCAGTGAAGAAAACACTGAAAACTCCACGCAGTCCGCTCGTTGATGCACAAACCCGCAACCAACTCCAGTATCAGAGTCAAGTGTTCGGGCAATGGTGGGTCTGTGACGAGTATGGGGGCTTTCTTAGTATCTGTAGGGTGGAAAATGGAAAAAGTCTTATGAATTCTGATACGTGATTCGGTTGAAATAATCAATATTCATTCGTACATTAAGATTTTATACACCAATGATCGCTGTAGTGATTCCTGTTTCTGATGACAAAAACGGTGAAATTAGACTTACAAGTCGACCCCCCTATAACACTGTTGATAATTCCATTTTATATGAATTCCATGTTGTACGAGTCACTTAGATTTTACAAATACGTGTGCTGAGCTGTGAACGGCTCACGTAATTGTAAAATCTAAGTGACTCGTACAACATGGAATTCATATAAAACGGAATTATCAACAGTGTTATAGGGGTCGACTGTATTAAGAATTATATTTAACTTTTGTACGTGTGTTGAAAACATGTTGCAATGCTTTCACCAACATTGCCTAATTGGGGTATTTGTAAATCACAAAATTAATTTTTAGGTCATTTTTCAAGATGATAAATAATTTAGTCAAGAAAATTATACCAATGGAATAATTTATTGACTAAAATGCTGGTATCAACCGGATATATACTTACAATTCATCTTGAGGTTAAGAATATTTGTCGAGTAAGTTAAGATTATTTCAAATCACAAATAATCTGCAATATTTCGTATATACTTACAATTCATCTTGCTATTTTAATATTTAAAATATGACAATTCGAAATAATATAAAGTTGCATTGATAATATTTGAAATAAAATTTGTTTTAATAATGTAAAAAATAAGTTGTTTTAATATATGATGAAATATTAAGTTGCAGTGTTAATCTATAATGGTTGTTGGACGTTACATTTTATAAAATTAATACCTTCTTTTATAAAGAGGAAAATTATTAAATTCTATAGCTGTTGTAAATGTAATAACGAGTAAAAATCTTCATTACGTCCGACCCCATTCGAGTTACGTCAAGCGACCTCCCTCTATTTCCCAATTTTCTCCACCTTTAGCCGATTTGATATGGCAGAGCCGGCCCTACCATAGGGCCAACGGAGCAGCCGCTCCAGGCACTAAGTCCTAAGGGGCGCCTCAGTGGTAAAGAAAATTAAAGGGTATAAATTAGGGGCAACCAAGGGGGCGCCATTATAGGATCTCGCTCCATCCTAAAACTTGCCTCGGGCCGGCACGGCCTTTAACCATCAAAATTTAACAGCACGAATCTCTCTAATATACGAATCTCGAATACGAATATACGATGGAAGAGGTGAGTCCCAACATATCCATAACAGAACTCCCCGAAAATTCCTGGGCATCCTTACTTTGCTCATCAGGATTCGGTTCTGTATTTTCCAGAGTTGTAGGCTGACACCTTAACCGTTGTGTCCAGGACCAGAATTAATCGAGAATGAAATTTTAATTAAAGAAATAATTATTACAATTATTATTTTAAATTTTTATATCGTTACATTTCGAATTGCAGTTATACTTATGGAGAAAATTCATAGATATTGCAAATACATTGATTATTATTACAGAAACCATATCTAAGTAAGCCAGAATATGGTGCCTTTTTACAATCTTCGTAACAGGCTGCATTCTTTTCTTTGGTAGTGGATCCGTTCTCACAAGCTGAAGAATTAATTGGGATCATATAATCTGCCGATCCTCTTTCTATCAAAGATCCTAAAGAGAAAATCAAAGATGAAACTTGATATTGAATTGAACGATAATTTCTAATTAAATATTCGTAATTACTCAAATCTGTCAATAATTAATGCTGATTTATTTATTGATTGTGTTGATATTTCGCTTTAATTAACAAAGTACTAGCATTGGTAGGCTATATGGTTAAACACAACTAAGTTCACTGCCAGTGGGCTTCACTCTCAATAGTGTTCTTTTTAGCGTGAGTGAATTACAAAAAAGAGTATCCTACTACATCCGTGGCTACGGTAAATTATGGAATTGTAGAATTAACGAGTTTTCATCTGGCCAACGGACTGGCCTCTTGAAGTATTCTGGATTTTTCCCATACAAAGTCCTCCGAAGAGGCACTCCCCATTGGCATATGGCGTATCCCTTATTCCCACAATCTTAAAATGTATATACTGTAATATTAAGGATATTTATCAATTATACTTCATATTTAATTAATTTGATTGTATATTCGAAATTTTGAATATAATAATACTAACACTAGATTTTCTCGTAATTTTAAAAGGATAAATTCTTACCGATAATAACGCTTGTCAGAAGAACTAGGTAAAGATCCATGTAAATATTCGATTGTATTCTGCTGATAAAGTTGGATAATTTACTGTAAAGTTACTCTGTTTTATACTTTCAATCTGTACAATAAAATGTTATGAGTTCCTGTTCCTAAGAGTTTGAAAAATAGAATAAATGTAAAAGTTTAGTCGCAGCTGTTTACAACAATAAATAGTTCATAATTATTGTTTTATTTACGATCGATTTTATTGTTTATTCGTATTCAAGCCTTCTGTTGCAAAAACAGTTGCGAATAAATTACTATTTTTAATATTATAATAAGATTCCTACGCAATTATTACTATCCATCGAGTAATGGATCACCCGCCAGCGGCCAACCCGTGGTCGAATGGATTAACCACTGAACACCGTTTGCGGGTTCGGTGGTTGTTGGCAACAGCCGCCAACGAGCTGGCCACATGAATTTTCCGGATTTTCTTCACATTAGCGACACCGATATAGGGGGCCAGTTTCCTATAAAACACTTTTCGAGAGATATTTTCTTTCGGAAGATCGCCTTGTATAATCAGCGCGATCTGTCAGTGTCGAGGGGACAGATCCCGATAGCACCTTTTCTGCGCCCATCGTATCTATATTATACGAGTCGTGTACATTTTTATCGGACACAGTATAGGCAGTTTAAACAAAAAAAAAAAGACCAAAACTGGGAACAAATGCCTTATTTTTCGGCGCGTTACTGTCGGGATTGGCCGGAAAGGAGTTACGCGACTCAGAGAACACCGATCAGCGCGACAGTCAGCAAATGCCTAGCTTTACCCGGTGCGGAAGGAATCTTCAAGCGAGTAGATTATCAAAGAAAAGAAGATCGAAATAATTCGAAAGGGAATCGCGGCGATAGAATTATTTCGGTTAAGATTAGAGAACAACCGCGCGACATAGAACATTCGAGGGATAAAATGCGCGATACGATCCCATTAGCGGGAATCGGTATATCAAAGAGTGGTAATTCTCTGCTCAAATTACCACCATTCACCTTAATCTGCGAAATAGAAAGCAAACTTACGATAGATACGGGCCCAGTATCTAGACTTCTCTTCCAAGGTTTTATAAGCAAATTGCCGGAAGCGAAGACCAGCGAATATTGTTTGTGGAGAGTTTCGTGGAATTCTTGTAACCCTACACTTGTTAAAAGTATGCGTACTCTAGTCGGGTGTCCAAAGAATAGCGTAACTCACAACTATTATATTACGACACTTATTCTACCGCTCTCGGACGGCTAATACGTAAAATTAACTTTTCTTTGTTAATGTTAACATTGGATTGTCGAAATCAGCGGCGGCGACCGGTGGTCAGCAAGAAAATTTGGATGGTCCGTGGAGAAATTTCAATATTAATTAATTGAAGGTTACGCGAAGTATTAAGAAAGAAATGCGAAATGCTTAGTTGCGTTGTTTCACTCGTTGGGTTTTTTTTTATTCCAATCTAAAACTAAATACGAAGTGACGTTATCGACAAATAATGAACAAGAGTGCCCTAACTAGTCGAGTGCAAAGGGTGCACCCGCGCAGGGCCCGCTTCAAAGAGGACCCTAAATGCGTGTATTTGTTTTATTACCTTCCAAACCTAATAATTAATTAAGGGGCTTAAATACAAAATCCTGCACTGGGCACAGGAATGGCTAGTTACGGCACTGAGTATAAGCATTATAATAACATAATATTAGAAATCTTAATTTCATAGATAATAACACTGCTAAAGATGTGTAAATGACTGTTTCATCGTCTACGATAAAAGCATACTAGATATTGACTCTTTCGTTTATGAAATGAATTTAATAAATAAAAATGTTCAATTCCAGTGTGAAAAATAGTAGACAATAGTCTGAATTATTTAGAACTTACCATAGTTAGATTAAATAGTAAATTATTATTTAAAAAGTATGTTAAAGATTGTGCTACAGGTGAATTTATACACTTCAAATCGTCCCAAATAATGTGTAAATACAGTGCACTGTATATATCAAAAATTCCTTTGTATTGGTTAACTATTAGTGTTATAATTATATGTTGGTACTATGTGTTTGTAAGCTGATATATAACATAAAATTTAAAATCGGTAGTCTGACGAACGTGGTGGAACCTTGCACTTTGGATAGAGAAAGATTGTTTATGGCAGGTGTCTCACTTGTTAGTGAAAACGCAACACCGCGGCAGAATACCGATTAGGATTACGAATGTTTCGACTCAACCAATAAAATTAAAAGAGGAAGTAGGATAGGCACCAAAGGAAATGGGCCAACAAAATAGTGCAGGGCAACCAAAGGTAAAAGAGCTAACTAGAGCCCAGGTAGCAAATCTATTCGATTTAAGCGAAGTTCTGAAGGACAAGTTGACCCCTTTGCTGAATGTAAGTTCGCCGATTTTGGGGGCAATACGTTAATTGCGCGTCAGGAAAACCTAGGGTCAAACCGTATGTGGGTGGTGGCGGTAGGAGACAAAGATGACAAGTGTCTTACACGAAAACCGTTTATTTTGACATGAAGTTAACTTACACAACAGGAATAACAAAATAAGTTCGTTGGCCGGCTGAGGTTTCGCTTCTTCTGTGCCCCGGGGCTCAATGAGGTAACTACTGACGATCTTGCGTCCTTGATGCGAGTTCAGGTGTCCGATGATGCGGCGGTGCTCGGCGGTTATGGCGTTCTGGATGCTGGGGGTCCAGTGCACGGCTGAGACTCGGCTATCCTGACCTCTTGAGTATGTGTCCGTGTGCTGCGGGCCTGGCGTCTTGGAGAGAATCTGCC